TGCCTAGTTGAACACTTGTACTGTTTTTCACCTCAAGACCAATTATGTTCTGTTTCAAAAGTACACTGCTGGATTTTGCACAGGTGGCTGGCAGGCTAGAAGTGGTGGCCTGCTGGCCACAAATGATGGTCTACTGTCCACAAAAAGTGGTCTGCCGGCCACTGATGCCTAGTTTTTCCTACTGCAACAGAGAGAAAACAGAGCAAGCACAGGGTATTCTCAAGGATTATTTGCATCACTTACCTCTTTTTATCATCAAACAGTTCAAAGGAGTAGTAAATTTGATTCCCAAACCATTAATCAATGCAATTTCATTGCATGATGGCCTATGAACGAAAGTGCGCAAGTTCAATAAATGCAACAATAAAAGAGTCTCAAACCTCCTCCCTATCATGGATTGATCAAGGGAAATGGTCGACAATGACTCTTGAACCATTTATATCACTAACAAGTATAAAACGATTCAAGACTCATGGGTTCAATTAACGTCCGATTGAACCCTAACTAAGTTATTATCTTGCATCATTTTTAGTTCTCATTTTATTACTCCATTTTAATTACCAACCATTCCTTAGTAAATTAAGTCCAAAGGTGAGCTTTAAGTCATCTAATGGAAAGAAGCATCAAACCAAGAGTTGTTTTAGACATGAGAGAAGTGTCATGCCATTCATAATGAACTCTCAGAGGGATTAAACCATTAAGCACAATGCCTCAATCTCATGCTTAAACAAAGAAGTAGTTTGAACCAACTTTCAAAGCAAAGCAAAAGCCCAGAAAGGAGAGAGGTTGCAGAAGTGACTAGGAGTGAAAACAAGTATGGAAAAACACTAAATAAATGTAATCAACTCAAATAAGGTGGTGTCTAAAGCCTAAAACACCAAACTTATGAGAACAATTACATTACAAGCATGCAATGCAAGGCTCAAATGCAATGAACACTTAAAAAGAGTCCTAAAATAGTGCTAAGTAAGTCCCAAAACATGATGAAATTAAGACAAAAATAGCTAAAATAATAAGCTAAAACATAGATCATGCTAGGCTAGTAAGCAAAACACAAGGAGGGGAGGCTAACCCCTCCAAGTTTACACTTCAAACCATGATTTTAGCCACTAAAATAACTTTGAAAATCAGTGTTTAAAAGCCCCAAAAAAGATAGTGCAAAGGTGGAAAACACAAGGGTAAAGGCCTTAAGAGCAAGGTGTAAAGAAGGGTTAATCACCCCTCAACCTTTATTGGCCTTAAAACCCAAGTTTTAGGCCGAAAATAGGGAGTTTATACAACCCAAAAAACAGTTGGAAAATAGTAGGAAAAAGAGTAAATAAAGCAAGAAGAGAGGCAAAGCTTTATACCTCTTGAAGAGGGGAACCAATTCTAGGCAACAAATCAAGACAAACACACCCTCAAGAGCTCAAACAAGGCTCAAAGGTACCTCAGCTCAAAGATGAAGAGGTTTGGTTAAGAATGTATAGGCAAAAGCTTGTAAAAAACTAAGAAATTTCAAGAGAGAGAATTGTAGAGAGAGAGAGAGATAGAATTTTTGCTCTAAAAATTCCAACCTTAAAAATGGAAGGGGAGGCCTCCTATATATAGAAAACCAAGCAACTCCCTCAGAAATATCAAGACATACACGTATAGGAAGGTGCATGCATCTATGCCAATAGCCGGCACAACTGGAAAAAAAATATCTACAAAACACATTGGTGGCCGACAGGCCACTACTGGTGACTGGCAGGCCACATCAGTGGCCGGCAATCAAAAGCAATGGTTAAGAGCCAAAAGAAAGGGGCCGGCAAGCCACAAAAGGTTGCAGGCTTGAAAATCTCTAGTTTTGGTCTAAAAACAAGGCAACAAGTGTGTAAGGTTTGCAAGGCTCAAAGTTGTAGCATTTCGCTGAGGACTTCGAGTAGTTGACAAGCATATATACTCATCATTGGGTGTGCAAGCGATGACGTCCAAGACGTAAGGGTAGTAAAAAATTGGGTGTCTATAAACCCCCTTCCTGTAGTTCAAACTTGCAAAAGTTCGCTCGAGCGTAAAAAAGACCGCTCGAGCGAAGATATCCAACTCCAACAGTTTTACAGACTGTAAAAGACTAGTCGAGCATAGGAAAGGTCGCTCGAGTGAGCAAGCAAAATTCTGAACAACAACATTTTGAAAAACTAACCTCACAACCTCTTTCTAACATAACCAAGACTCTCAATAGCCAAACTCAACAAACAATAAGATGGAAATGTGCTGAACAATAGTTAAATACACGGGTTCTCAAATTCAAAGTCAAGTAAATGGGTTGGGTTTAAACCAGAATCGTTATATTATATATGTATATCTATCACATGCTATAGATTCATAGCTTAGGGTTAATGAATGTATTAATGCATGTGATTTTTTTTAGTAATACATTAAAGAAATCAATGAAAGAATGAATGTTTTGGTAATATTGTCTTAATGAATGATTGAATCTGATGAGTATCCGTATATCGAGAATTTGGGGTAGCACTACAGGCACTGTTGTGCGATCTTATGGGCTCATTTTGAGGTCCGTTTGATAATCTAAACCGTTCACATTTTAGAGTCCATTGAGTAGAACATACTTGCCAAAAAACAAGTTAATGAGATAATGTTAACCCTTTCATTCAGTCACATTTGTATCTTGAAAAATAAATGACATTGTGATTTAAGATATTAAAATGAATACAAATGTGAGTGGATGAAAGAGTTAATGATATCCGATTAATTTAATTTTTGGTAAGTATATTCTACTCGATGTACTCTAAAATGTAAACCGTTCAGATTATCAAAACAGACTTTGAAATAAGTTCATAAGGCCGCACAGCACAACAAGCACCCCCAATCCGTATATCTGTTGTGGGGTTATGGGTTTATCTATTGTTATAATTTGGGGGCATTACAATTATCATCTTCCAAAATCAGGCTTAGAAGCTAGAAAAACAGACCCAATTAAAATTGAATTTGAACAAACTAAAGTAAGATGTGCAATTGTGTGTAAATCAGTTGCCAATATTCATTGGTGGCTATATATGCATTGAAGGGAAAATATGCGAACCAAAACCACAACTATGATGTCACAATCATAAAAATAATCAGTACAAAAAAAATGAACCTTGCTTTAGTCCCCCGGTGGGGGTCCGAACCCCAGTGACGTGGCAGCACGCCATTCGTTGAAAACAAAAGAAAAATATATATATAATTTTTTTTTTTTGGCCAATCCCGGCTCGACACGCACGATCCCCAACACCCCCACTGGGGTCAGAAGCTTTATTCAAAAAAAATAACATAATATCATATTCCTCCGCATGGTTAACAACCACAGCAAACATAAATAAATAAATAATAAACAAACAAATAAATAAATAAAATTCATAATAATATTTAAATTATGTATCATCCTATGCAAAATAAAGTATCAAGAAAGAGAAATTGACAAATATGTTGGAGAAAAGATTGAAGAGATGTTACTCATATGTTGTGGAGAAAAATATTATAAATATTGGGCTTTTGATGTGGAGAAACAGTGGTATATGACTGCTAAACTTGTTTATGAATTTCGAATTGAAATTATATATTTGAGGTTTTTGTTTTTCTTTGACTGATATATATATATATATATATAGTATAGATAAATCAATAGATAATATTATATCATAGTAATTTTAAATTTGAATTGTGATATCTATATCTATGGATAAGGAAATTAGCTAATCAAAAGATAAAAATAGAATAAAAGATTGATATAAATTTTAAATTGAGTTATGGAATGTTCATCATTTAAAATTTTAATATTTTTAGATATTATTTTATAGACCAATGGATACGAGCCATTTGTATTTTTGCTATTTTAAAATTTTAAAAACTGATAATTTTTCTTTGAGATTTTAGAACTATCACAACTCTTTTGTTGAAAACTCTATTTGTTATAATATATTATATAGTATAAATTTTGAAATCTATAAATCAAGGAATTATTACTTTTTAAATAGGGTTTTTTTTTTAATTTATAAATCCTCTTTTTAAGAGTTTTATTCCATCAAACTCATATTTTTTTTTTTACTATTTCATTAAATCTTATTTAAGGTAAGAAGACCAAAACACCGTCAATCTCTCATGTCTCCTATTAATGTTGATTGTCATTATGTTTTGATAGTTCTCATGTATCAGGATGTTGACTGTCATTATATTCATATTAATTTGAAATGAATTTTTGTCATTTTGTTATCAATTACATGATGTGAATATTCACATCATGTAATTGATAACAAAATGACAAAAATTCATTTCAAATTAATATGAATATAATGACAGTCAACATCCTGATACATGAGAACTATCAAAACATAATGACAATCAACATTAATAGGAGACATGAGAGATTGACGGTGTTTTGGTCTTCTTACCTTAAATAAGATTTAATGAAATAGTAAAAAAAAATATGAGTTTGATGGAATAAAACTCTTAAAAAGAGGATTTATAAATAAAAAAAAAAACCCTATTTAAAAAGTAATAATTCCTTGATTTATAGATTTCAAAATTTCAACAAAAGAGTTGTGATAGTTCTAAAATCTCAAAGAAAAATTATCAGTTTTTAAAATTTTAAAATAGCAAAAATACAAATGGCTCGTATCCATTGGTCTATAAAATAATATCTAAAAATATTAAAATTTTAAATGATGAACATTCCATAACTCAATTTAAAATTTATATCAATCTTTTATTCTATTTTTATCTTTTGATTAGCTAATTTCCTTATCCATAGATATAGATATCACAATTCAAATTTAAAATTACTATGATATGATATTATCTATTGATTTATCTATACTACATATATATATATATATATATATCAGTCAAAGAAAAAGAAAACTTCAAAAGTGCATAAGAAGAAGCAGAATGTGAAGACAAATACATATCGTACAAGAACAAGTTCACCGAGTGCATATGTTGCTGACTTCCCGCCTATGTTAATATCATTCATAAAATTGATGAAGGATGTAGATGGTGATGGGAATTATGGATTTAGAACTATTGTAGGTTTACTTGGTCTTGGAGAGAATGACTGGGTGCAAGTTAGGCATGATCTGCTACTTGAATTGAATAATCACAGAGATGAATACGTCGTACTACACGAATCGCATAAGAGGGTTGAGGAGCTGACACACATCCTTTCATATTTTGAAGATAGCCCAAGCTTTGATTGTTGGATGACTATGCCTGACATGGGGTATCTTATTGCATCATTTTATAATGTAGTCTTGTATCACTTGTCATTGCAACAGTGTCTCACTTTCTTACCTTTGAGATCACCGCCAGTAACCCTAGCTGATCGTCGCGCGATTGCCATTGGATTTGTCAATGGAAATCATTTTGTGCAAGTATAAGTTATGAAAATAACTGAACATTGTTGTCTAATATTTGTGTAGTTGCAAATTTTATGTATTTGGTAAAGATATGTAATTTTTTGGATGTAGGTGCAGGTAGTTTTGGAGGCCGATCATCCAGTTCCTTCCATTGTCGTGCTTTGGCGAGTTCACCATCACCCTTATGCATCAGAATGGGAGAATGCATATGTTAGCCGCGTTCAAAAATTCAAAGACAACATAGGACCTAATGTAGCTACTCGAGAGATATTTCATGTAGTTGACATAGATTAAGGTATTACAGAGTAGTAATGACAGGTTTAAGACATTAGTTTTTATGATTTACTAGCATAGAGTAACGAGGTAGATATTATTTTGCCATTGAATTTTGTAATGGTCAGTTTTTTTTTAAAAAAAATAGAATATTATATGCGTTATAGTTCTCTAATTTATAGAATGGATGTCATATTATTTTTACAATGTCTGAACACAAAACGTAATGAAAATAATATTAACCAAGTGTAGCTACTGTTAAAAAGTAATAAGTTTAAACACAAGTATTGAAAAAATAATAATAATATTAAATAGTAGTTTAATCCATCCACACCATCACAAACTACATGAGTTGAAGGTAAGTGTTCGAAGAGCACAAGGGGAGATCCCCGTCGGAGAAGAGCGATTCACCGCCACTCACCTCATGAGGTGCTTTCTAAAGCGCCGCTACGCTTGTTTATTGCGTTCATTAAACATCATGCATTGTATTGCATTGTACCTATCAAGTTTCTTTCTCATTCATGCACGATATTGTATGTACGGTTCGTTCAAAGAAGTTTGGTTTAAGATCATTTCTTTAGTGTATCTATCACACTTTTCTTCATTCACTTTTGTGTATCTATCACATACATTCTCATTTTGTGTATCAATCACACTTCTTTCATTTTATGTATCCATCACATACATTCACTTTCAGTATATCAATCATACTTTGTTCACATTGTGCATCTATCACACTTTGTGTTAATTTTCAGTATATCAATCATACTTTGCTCACATTGTGCATCTATCACACTTTGTGTTAATTTTCAGTATATCAATCATACTTTGTTCACATTGTGCATCTATCACACTTTGTGTTAATTTTCAGTATATCAATCATACTTTGTTCACATTGTGCATCTATCACACTTTGTGTTAATTTTCATTATATCAATCATACTTTGTTCACATTGTGCATCTATCACACTTTGTGTTCACTTTCAGTATATCAATCATACTTTGCTTACATAGTGCATCTATCACACTTTGTGTTCACTTTCAGTATATCAATCATACTTTGCTCACATTATGCATGTATCACACTTTGTGTTAATTTTCAGTATATCAATCATACTCTGTTCACATTGTGCATCTATCACACTTTGGGTTCACTTTCAGTATATCAATCATACTCTGTTCACATTGTGCATCTATCACACTTTGTGTTCACTTTCAGTATATCAATCATACTTTGCTTACATAGTGTATCTATCACACTTTGTGTTCACTTTCAGTATATCAATCATACTTTGCTCACATTGTGCATCTATCACACTTTGTGTTAATTTTCAGTATATCAATCATACTCTGTTCACATTGTGCATCTATCACACTTTGTGTTCACTTTCAGTATATCAATCATACTTTGCTCACATAGTGCATCTATCACACTTTGTGTTCACTTTCAGTATATCAATCATACTTTTCTCACATAGTGCATCTATCACACTTTGTGTTCACTTTCAGTATATCAATCATACTTTGCTCACATTGTGCATCTATCACACTTTGTGTTCACTTTCAGTATATCAATCATACTTTATCTATCATACTTTGTTCACTAAGTGCATCTATCACACTTCGTGTTCACCTTTAGTATATCTATCATACTTTGTTCACTAAGTGCATCTATCACACTTCGTGTTCACCTTTAGTATATCTATCATACTTTGTTCACTAAGTGCATCTATCACACTTCGTGTTCACCTGTAGTGTATCCATCACACTTGTTCACTAAGTGCATCTATCACACTTCGTGTTCACATTTAGTATATCAATCATACTATGCTCACATAGTGCGTCTATCACACTTTGTGTTCATTTTTAGTGTATCAATCACACTCTGTTAACATAGTGCATCTATCACACTTTGTGTTCGCTTTTAGTGTATCAATCACACTTTGATTCACTTAGTGCATCTATCACACTTTGTGCTCACCTTTTTGTGTATCAATCACACACTCTTGCTTTGTGTATCAATCATACTTTGCTCACATTGTGCATCTATCACACTTTGTGTTCACTTTTAGTGTATCAATCACACTCTGTTCACATAGTACATCTATCACACTTTGTGTTCGCTTTTAGTGTATCAATCACACTTTGATTCACTAGTGCATATTCATCAAATGTGTGTTTTCACACTCTTGCTTTGTGTATCAATCATACTTTGCTCACATTGTGCATCTATCACACTTTGTGCTCACCTTTTTGTGTATCAATCACACACTCTTGCTTTGTGTATCAATCATACTTTGCTCACATTGTGCATCTATCACACTTTGTGCTCACCTTTTTGTGTATCAATCACACACTCTTGCTTTGTGTATCAATCATACTTTGCTCACATTGTGCATCTATCACACTTTGTGCTCACCTTTTTGTGTATCAATCACACACTCTTGCTTTGTGTATCAATCATACTTTGTTCACATAGTGCATCTATCACACTTTGTGTTCATTTTCAGTATATCAATCATACTCTGTTCACATAGTGCATCTATCACACTTTGTGTTCACCTTTTTGTGTATCAATGACATGTTCGCTCTGTGTATCTATCACACATGCACGCTGTATTTGCAGTGAGAATTCCGTAATTTTCTTACATCCTTTCTGCACGAAGTGTAGTTTGGCTCGAGTTTACTTGCTTGCCTAGCATTCGCTTAAAATGTTGCATTTATTTCGCATAATTGCTTCGTTACAGCTCTCTTCGCATGATCATGAGTGATAACCGGCTTCGCGTAGCGTATAAGTCCAACTTTCAAAACCGGCTTCGCGTAGCGTATAAGTCCAACTTTTCAAACCGGCTTCGCGTAGCCTATAAGTCCAATCTTCAAAATATTATTGCGTATCGTTTTGCATTTTGCCCCCCTTTTGCCTGCGGGCACATCTCTGTTTATCTTGTACATTTGTCTAAGTCTTCAGCCTTGTCAAAAATGGGTCGTCTCTTGGCTTTGACATTCACTCCCGTCACTTGTGACTTCCGAGTTCTGTCAAAGAGGGGCAACTGTAGACCCCCCATTTTTGACCGACCTTAAGACTCAGGCGTCACCGATTGAGCGCTTGGTGATGTTGCATAATGTGCTTGTTCAGAAGTTTCAGAGTCGCGGCCAT